TCAATGTTTGTTTCACTGGTGTTCCATGTGTTTATCCCAACAGTGCAGCCCTTCTCTATAACCTCTGCATAGCAGACACAAGCACTCATCTTTGTAAAGGACCTGGACCATTTCCCATAATCTCTGATTTTATACTGAAGCAGATTTTTGTGTTCACCCAGCTCTAGTGGTGCCACACCAGCACCCACCCTAACAAAACCAGGCCTTTCCTCTGAAGGAACGACATCAGAGCGTTATTGTTATTTTTGTCTTCAAAGAACACAGGCACAATAGAACACCTTCCTAGCTATTGTCAGCTTTTGCCATTTTAATAGGGATCGCTCAGTTCTTCATCAGGGAGCCAAGAGCCAGATGTTAACCTTATCCCTTTTTCTTCTTCGCGTGCTTCCTTTCTTTACTCTTCTGGTGGAGGGATAGGCAGGAACACAGATTTTATTCCTTTGAAGCTGACAGGATGAGGTGCAAAAATGAAGATTTCTTTTCCCTTGTAAAATCATCTAAAGATGATGCTTTCCTTTTAACATTTCAGTCAATTCGACAAGCTCAGTGTTGGTGGGAGGGAAGGCTGCTTTATATTTAATATAAGATGAAGTCCATGCAGTATCCTGCAGCGGTGTTGTTTTGTTTTATTGCTCTGCTTAAGTCACCATTAACCATCTTCCCGGTCCCCCCACTCCCGGCTGCTTTTCTGTTGATTCCTGCTTTATCGAGACTACTCCTCACATTTCCTCCCCCTGTTTACAACTTTCTTTAGCCTTTGTGGTGCTATTATTTGGCAATTACCGTTCTAACCAAGGAAGACTAGATACAAACTGTGAACCAGTGCTCCTTAATGGTATATAGGAAACCAGCACTCTGCTTATCTCCCACATAAACCCTTTCCACTATGGGACTTCAGCATGCTGCTCTTGATCCTCTTTTAGCTCTGGCCAGATCTGAAACTAAGGACAGGATTCCACTATATCTGGAAGGTTTGGTTAGGGTATGCAACTCTAGCTACATAAAATATGTAGCTGGAGTCATCTTACCTTAAGCTGAGCTTGGCGCCATCTTCACAGAGGCAGACCGATGGTAGCGTTTGTTTCCCTTAGTCTTCACAACTGCCAGGAGTACCGGTGCCAAATAGAGCCGCCATCAGTGTTTGATTTAGCAGGTCTTAAGTAGACCCAGTAAATCAAATGCCAGAAGATACATCTCTGACACAGCAAGTGAAGATGTGGACTAAGACACCAGGAACAAGAAATCAAGCACATGTCACCTGTGTGATAGTGCAAAGCATGATGATTAGACCATCAGGCTAACTAATCTTTCTGCCCTCATTTTGTTTAATGGAATGCTGTGGGCTCCATCTTGTCCCTACTGAGTTCAAAAGGTGTTTTGAAAACTGATTTATATGTGAACAAGATTGAGCCTTGTCAGATAATGATCCTATTTGTAGAAAATATTATCTGTTTGTGCTGATGAAAGAAGCTAAGCCAAAAGCCAAATTTGTATAATGTAACTCTTTTTTAAAAATAATTCCACTCAGCAAAGAGTGAAATTAGCCTAGTTAATTTCACTTACCATAAATTAGCGCATATAACCCACGCACGAGTATTACCTGCACCTGAGTATAACCCACAGTTTTCCCGGATTGAGTAAAAAAAGTTTTGTCCATGCATGTGTATAGCTCGCGGGAGATGGACCGCGGGTAATGTTAATGCAAAGCACCTGTAATCAAGTGTTAATGAGCCGCTAAGTCTCACTAAGTAGGCTACAACCCTTATCACTGGTATATAACCCCTTTGAACCACACCGCTTTTCCATTCATTTATTCCTTCAGTGTTTTTAACTTGTATTTTAAACATTTTAAACTTTTATTATTTTACTAGTTGCACAGTAAACTAATGAATTTTAATGTATTTTAATGAATTTTAATATATCTCCCTCTATTATTAAATTAAAATATGCTGCTTTTCTCAATTAAGAGTCAGTCTTCTCTTTGTTTCAGTAAAAAAACCCATATTACACGCAGACGAGTATAGCCCGTGGGGGGAGGGAGAAGGGTATGTAAAACTTTGCATAAACACTGGTTATATTTGCGCCTATTCTCATGCACTAAATGGATGCTAATGTGTTTGGGTTAGCAATTAATCATGTGAGCCTCACCACCCATGACCATATTTTTTTTAAAAGACAGATAGATAGTACCACTTAATATAGGGCTTATAGTACCCTATTATTCATGTCAGTAGACTCTCAACATTGCCACTCCTCAAAAGCTATTCAAAGAGCATGAAGTTGATTTTAGAAGACAATAAACACAAGGGGATCAGTTAAATGAATCCAAAACCTTGATACACTAGGGCTTCATAAGATGCATTAACAGTAGTGCGGGGAGCATTCATGTGCTGAGGGAAAGGTTGGCCTATACATGAGAGTTCCTTGCTTGTGGTGTTTAATGTCACAGGCTCTTGGCCTGCTTTTGCCTGGACTAAAATCAGTCCGCCCATTAACTTAACTGGGAGAAGGATCAAATCCTCCATGAGATACATAGTCAGCTGTTCAGAGTCATTCCTTGGAACTGAATGATGGACTCTTGATAAGCCATAAGAGAAGGCAGAATCATTACTGCTGCCGCAACTATGCGAGTTAATACTTTACAATGGATAGGAGACATTTAAAAAAAATGGAAATGGAGACCTGCTGTGGTGCACCCCAAATTCTGCCTGGGCAGCTGAAAAGGAAACTCAGACACTTAGATCTACAAAGCAGTGATGCTTCTTCCACCCAGCACATCCAGCTCCATGCTACCACAAATCAAGTTTATCAACTGCAAGAACTACTGCTATCTGAGCTCTCATATTCTCCTCTTCTCCATTGTCTGAGCTTGTCCCGACCTTTCTTGCCTCTTCCTTTCTGTTCTTCAAATTCCCTTTTTCCTCTTTTACTTACCAAGAAAATCGCAGGTGTGATTCTCACCAGACGGCTTTGGTGGTCTTCAAAGCCAGAGACTCCAAGCACTGCACTGTAAAAGTCCTTGAGGATTTGGCTCCTCCAAGGATTCATCAGGAAAGGAGTTGGGAGATTTCAGCTGTTCTTTGCCTTCCATTTTCTTTCTTTATATGAAACACCGTGGGGCCGACAGCCATTGTGGGCCTTCAGGTAAACATATGGGAGGGACCCCAATCCATGGCTCCAGAAGGGACAGGGCTTCAACTACTGGGCCCTGAGGCAATTACTCCCTTTGCCTCTCACCTGTCAGCAGGCCTGATTAAACAAATTACTTTATTGCAAGAAAAGGAATGTGTTCCTCTCTTTAGTTTGCATCCCAGGGCTAATCTACACAAGAAGCCTGACTGTGGCACTGCTACAATGCCACTCTAGAGCATCTGGTGAAGACATTCAATGCTGAGACAAGAGAGCTCTCCCGTAGGCATACTAAAACCACCTCTGCAAGGGGCAGTAGCTCTGTTGTCCGGAGAAGCTCTTCCATCAACAAAGCACCGTCCACACCGCTGGTGTCCGGTTTATGTCACTCATGGGGGTGACTGATTCACACCCAAGTGAAAAAAGTTTTACCAACATAAGATGGCTGTATGTACAGGCCCCTAATCTTTGTATACAACTGCACCAAACTCCATACGCTGACTGGTTGCAAATATTTTCACTGTCTTTTATGTCCACATTTTTATTAAATAATTATAAGAGGAAACAAAGCAATATCGAGCCCCACAAAAGACCAAAAACAGTGAGATAAATACAATCTGTGAAGTCTGAGGCTACGTCTAGACTGCAAGCCTCTTTCGAAAGAGGCTTTTTCAAAAGATACTTTCGAAAAAGCCTCTTTCAAAAAAGAGTGTCTACACTACAACCAGTACTTTTGAAAAAGCAAGCCGCTTTTTCGAAAGAGCACCCAAGCATTCTCGATGCTCTCTTTCGAAAAAGCACAGTTTGCATTATATAGCGCCTTTTTTTCGAACGAGCACTTTAGAAAAAAGGCATTCTTCCAGTCTAGATACAGGGAAAGTTTTTTTTGAAAAAAGGCCTTTTTTTTAAAAAAAGGCCACTTTTTTTGAAAAAACCCTGTAGTCTAGACACACCCTGAGTGAGCAGGGACAAAATTAGATGTTGGGAACAGAGAGTTTTTGGGGTAGGAGAGGAGGCAGAGGACTCACGGGCATGTGACATGGTGAACTATGTTGGATGATTTCCTATAGGAAGCTGTCCTGTTCTGCCACTCACTCATGGAAGAATGAGGCTGCTGAAAGCTCTTTAATCTTTAGAGAAGCAAATTAAGTGTTCCACTGTTCTTCAGATTGAAGACTGGATAGAGAGCTTGGTTTGCGTCAGATTGAAATATCTCCCTGGAAGTTAACTGCCTACTGTCAATTGAACATTGCAGGAACTATTATAAAACTGATCTCTCAGGGTGCAAATGTCACCGCTGTATTTAGCTGCACCCTGTCAAGTGAACATCACATGAGCTGACTGGGATCTGACAGGGTGGGAGTTAAGTTTGGCAAAGTGGCTAGAATTTTACTAAAGGAGTCCTTGGGTTTACAGCTGCGAGCTTAACTCTTTTAGATGGAAGTGTTGCTCCTGCCATAACATTGCTGACATTGGATATGTGCTTTTTGGCTTTTTGCTGCATTCACATGATATTCTGTGAATGGCTCCACAAATGATGCAGTTTCTAATACAGAATAATGTCTACTCTGCAAAGGCCCAGAAAGTACAGAGCAGATGACCAGCACACAGCAGGGTTCCTCCAATTTCACAAATACCACATCTGTTCTCTGTGTCATGCCACACCAAGCCCAAGCAGGAGTCAAGTGTTCCCAAAAGAAAATGAACTAAACATGGGCAGGATTTGGCTTATACATTTCCTGTGG